TTCAGGCCTCATGTTACTGATAGCCAAGCCCATATGCGGCCATTTACAATAGGTGTCAGCCTGCTTTTGTTGCTAATTAGTGCCAGGAACACGCAACTGAGCTTCCTCAGAAGCATGTATATCAAGATGTCAGTGGGTGGTGTCACGGCGGGTGAGAGTTTCCCTTTGTGCTTTCTAGGTTTTAGCACTGGCCAGAAACTCCTCTTTATAATTAGAAGAAATTTTTATGAGGAAGCACAGTGCTGACTAAGGAATTTTGAAGGTGGCTTTGGCCCCTGCTCAAATGGGGTGGGGAGTCATGGAAGGAAAAAGAGAAGACCCAAGAGCTGACTTTAGGTGCTGAGTCTTTGTGAGGCAGAAGACACACAGGGGGTGTGGGGCACCCCAGGAGCTCAGCACCCCATGACAGGAAGGGCGAGGGTAGACTCTTCTCCCTGATGGTGAAAGCACAAACCCTGGCTATGTGAGCTTCCACTCGAGGCCAGTGTGAGAGGGGAGAAAGGAGGGGGCGCTGGGGTAGTAAGAGAGGAGCCCGGCAGAGAGGGTTTCAAGACTGAGCGGAGCAGTGTTTTTCTTTTTTTTTTAAAGCTTTATTTATTTGTGCATATAGAACTAGGGTACAAGCCAGAGGTGCAGGGGCAGCGAGAGGCTTCACCAGAGACAGAGCGGGGAGCAGAACAGGCAGGTTGATGAAGCACACTGCTGAGGGGAGCATGGGCGGGTCAGGAGAGGTCTGCTGCGCCATGCGAGTCACCTCCAGGGCTGGGATTGATCTCTAGTTGCAGGGGCTGCTGATAACTTCACAGTGATAGGACTTGCACTGAGGCAGCTGCGGCCAGCTTGCAGTGCTGCGTCTTAACCCATTGCACCACCAGGGAGGGCCCCGAGTGGTGTTTCAAAGAGGCAAAGGAGGGTAAAGTCTGACAGGAAACCAGACTCCATAAGGGCCTTTATGAGCTTGGTGATATGATAGCCTTCAGAGAGACGCAGTGGGTGTGTGAGGTGTGTGTGAGGAGTCGTGGGCAGACAGTGACCTTGAGTCTGTCAGTGAGTGGACCTGGGGCCTGGCGCTCTTGGGCTGCACGGGGCGGCCCTGCCCACGGAGCCCTGGCCTGCGGCTGGCTCCCACTTGCCGGTGTTTGCCCCAGGCCGCGCCTGGGCCCTGTGGGTATCATGTGGCTGTGTAAACAGTAACGACAACAGCAGGCCTAGGTTCTATGTTGAACTCTGTGTTCCTGGTGGGCTTTCCTGTTCATTTAAATTTATATGCACAAAGCCTTGCCTGGTAGGTGACTATATGCCCACTCACAGGTGAGGAAACAGAGGCAGCCACAGTGGCCTTTCCATAGATGGAAGTCTCTGTCCTAGCCGGACGGAGCTGATCATCAGGAAGGGAATATTCCTGGCCGACGGCCTCCCGCCCAACCCCCATCGTTCCAGCTCTCTCACAGCCTCATGCCGCCAGGAGGAAGAGACAATCCAGACCCAGCCTGTCCCGTCACGGGCTGATGGCCGGCTCCCTGGCTCCCGGTCCAGGAGCAGAGAGGTTTCAGAGCATCACTTGCCCTTTGCCTTGGGCAGTACATTTCCCCGCTGAAGTCTCAATTTCTCCACCTCTACCAGGGCTCAGGGGCGGCCTGGGGTGCCCTGGACCCTCTTGTAGTAACTGTGCCTTTCATTTTCTGGGTTCTGATGCCGTCCATCTGGGTCATTGCTGACCCTCGAGGGACGGAGCCCCACAGAGTCAGCTAATTCCTGGGGCGAGTACTCACCTCACCCTTTGAGCATGCCGGGCCCATGCCCCACTGCCCCCTCCACGGGGCAGGCCACTGTTGCCTGCCCTA